TATGCACTTCCTCCTTTTCCTATCTACATTCCCATCTCTCACATGACTTCTGATGCATATGATGCCTGCATGCCCATGCCACCCGTCAATCCCACGTACACTACACCATTGGTGAGTACTGGCTTTGATGCCTTTCCAGACTGCCAGCCTACCTCAATTCCCTCTCCGGCCAGGTCCAATGCAGATAGCAATCAGACCTCTACTGACTCTGGCCTAGTCCCGATTGAGAGGTTCACAACGAGGCATCGGGTTGAGTCTGACGACTCAGAGTGGACTCCGGACGAGGACATTCCATTGTCCCAACTTCGGAGATCCACACGCCATCAAGAACCACCTAGCCCGCCCAAGAAAAAAACACGCATTAGAGCTACGGACAGCCATAGTGAGACCTACCGTAAACCAAGAAATCTTCAGAAATATAAGACTTTTTTAGGGCTAGGTGAGAGAGGATTTGACAGGGGTTGTATAGAGGCCTATCCCTTCATACATGACGTCATTCTCCAAAGAGGATGGGAGGCATTTGCTACGATTAGATAGCCCTATTACCTCACTTGGGTTCATGAATTTTATGCATCAGTGTCTTCTACACGAAAGACCTTCGTCCATGTCAGGGTAAAAAGATCTCCTATTCTCCAACTGCCATAAATACTTTCTATGACTTGATCGTGCCTCCAGTCTGTGAGTATTGCAGGTTATTGCATGACCATACCGATGAGGATCTGAAGATGGTATTGACCGTTGTAGCGGAAGAGGAAGCCACTTGGAAGGCACCACAAAAGCGCAGCCCACTCAAGTTTCAAACCAACCTGCTCAAGAAGAATGCGGCCGTGTGGAATCACTTTTTGAGATACTCATTTCACCCCACCACACATGACTCAAGCACATCCTTGGATCGTATGCTTTTACTTTACTGTATTCTTGTAGGTAGATCACTTGATGTTGGGGCAATCATTTCCGATGCCATTCATGGATGTACTAGGAAACCTACCAGACGATTATACTTCCCGGCATTGATCCACGACTTAATGAAGAAGGCGAAAGTCCCAGTACCACCCGGCGAGGCACTTACCACCAATGCACTACCTATTGAGTGCAAAACAGTTGATCGGATCCGCAAGACGCCGCGAGGTGAGACCGGACAGCCCCCACTTGCTCCGGACAGCAGCCCCATGAAGACGAATTTGGCACATGAAGTTCGGAGATTGAAGGAGAAAGTCACCAAGCTAGAGACCACCTTGGAAAGAAGCGCCCAGACACACCACACCACCATGGAAAAAGCACTGAAAGCCCATGAAGAGACGCTACTGAAGAAGATGGAGGAACGAGATGCTCGACTCATGACTGAGTTGAAGGACATGCTCGCCGGGATATCCCGGCGCCCCGCCGACCATTGAGGACATACTCCATACGAGTAAGCAGGTTTATCTATCATTCCTTTTAGTTCCAATTTACTTTTTCCTTTCTTTATTTTTCCTCTTTTCCACGCGTCTGGGAATTGTCCGTGTCAGTCCTTTTTACTATTAGATTTTATTTTAAGATGGAACTTTATGGCATACACTTCACCACCACCGACTTGTGTTAATAGCTTGAGTAATTTAAAAGTGATGTGAGTTTGAGTATTAGTTTACATTGCAATACTAGAACTAGCCGACTCTTTTCCGGGACGCAACTTGGTTTAAATTGTCACTACTTAGGATATGATCTAGGCCATCTCTTCTCCATAACCGGGCAAAGCCCTATACACTCCCCTTGCACCCCACTGAGCCACATATATAAATCACAATGGGGACATTGTTGTATCTTAGTTGGGGGGATTTTGTCAAAAAGAGCAACGCTCTTTCAAAATATATATATATATATATATAAAATGCTTAAAAAGCATTGAAAAAAAAAAAAGCAAAAATGCAAACTACAAAAGGAAAATGGCTACAAAAAGCCAAGTAAATATTTACGTAAGAAAAAGGCTGAGTTATGAGAGAGAGAAAAAGTCAAAGAGAGAAACCCGACAAGTCCTTTTGATCCTAGTAAGTGACAATGTTTATAAATCAGACGACGGAAAAGTGAGGCTAGCCTATGGTATATAAATGTGATTAGTACAAAATAACTTCCACTTTGATTTACGAAAAGCTATTTATAACAAGAAAGTGGTAGTCGTGAGTATCGGTGTCCATTTTTTCCATCTTATTTGAGACTTTTATTTGTCTTTTTATGTTGTTTGGGGACAAACAACAATTCTAGTTTGGGGTGTGATAAGTACCAATTTATTTGATACTTTTGCACTTTTTCTTCACTTTATTTACCCATTTTATTTTCCCAAATTCCACAAATTGAGTCTTTTCGGTTTGTTTTTCTATTTTTATATTGGAGCTAAGGTGATATGATAAATATG